AAAAAGCTAGGAGCACAGGGGGATGAAGAGATCGAGGCCAGCCTGGGCCTGGAGCTAGACCTCACTGCGCAAACCAGCTACTGTGACAGCCTTTCCCTAGCCAGGCACTTAACATCCTTAACAATGGACAGGACGAGTTCCTGTGTTTCTACAGACAGAAGCAAAATCAAAATACAGATGTGAGCTTGCTCCTGCTGTGAGCTTGCTCCTGCTGACGTGCGTGTCTTCCCCCCACACCCTTTTTAAAGCACACTCAGCACTGGAAGCCACCTTGTACGCGGAGCATGCTGCCTCCTTTCCCTCTGTTACTTGTGTTTCCTTTTGTTCTCTATTTGCTTACATTATAATCTCACGTCTTATGTTACAGAGAACATAGGGCAGAACCTAAAGTTCACCCTGATACAGGCAGCCTGCCAAAGCCAGGGTTTGGCATATGGAGGGAAGTCAGAACACTACCTTCTCTGCCAAAACCAGTGTCTGTCTGTCTTGAGGAACTTGCTCTCACCCTGGGGGAAGAGAGGGCCTTCAGCGGCTCATCTTGATGTGCAGTCCCTGGCAGTGGCTTTCCAGATGGTCTCCAGAAACCTGGTGCACATGATATGGTTGTTGAAGTGCTTCATGCCTGCGCCCTCTAGAGCCCCTGATGTCCCTAGAGGACACACTGCTGGAGTGGGCTCCCTGCAGCTTCATGCCTGCGCCCTCTAGAGCCCCTGATGTCCCTAGAGGACACACTGCTGGAGTGGGCTCCCTGCAGCTTCATGCCTGTGCCCTCTAGAGCCCCTGATGTCCCTAGAGGACACACTGCTGGAGTGGGCTCCCTGCAGCAGACCTGACAGGGTGTCTTCCCAGCAGCGCACTGTATGGCAGCTCACTTGAATCTCATAGCAGCAGCCTGAGAGACGGTCTTCCCGCTGGAGGCACTAGAGGCTGGCGTCTTTGGGCCTGACTGGCAGAGACTGGGACCTGACTTTCTCTCTGTCTACAAGTCTCTGTTTATTCTACTCTCTACTCCTGGTGAGGTCTTCAGTTCTGCTCACCACACGGCTGTGTTTCTTAGACAGCTCAACCATGTGTATGTCTGAAACTTGGTTTCGGTGCTGGTGATGTTACCTGTGGTCGAGTGCTTCCTGGGCATGTGTAAGGCCCCTGGCTCAATCCTCTGCACCACCACCACCACCACCACCACCACCACCACAGCAATAAAGACAACAGTGGGGCTACAGAGTCCCGCCTCGTGCCCGCCCTCTGGTGTGCTGTGGTTGCTCTTCAAAGCGTAGAATTAGGTCTCCACAGCAGCCTTGCTGCTGGGTCAAATCGGAAAGAGAAGCCTGCTTCCTGCCACAAGCCTCTAGCCCAGTTCTCCACAGTGAACTCCTGCACGTTGGTCTTAAAGCAACCCCATGGCTAGAGGGAAACTGAGGGATGATGGATCCCTCTCTCCTTTCAGGCAACTGGTTGTTGGGGAAATGACCTGGGATTAGTCTCTCCTAAGAAGTAATTTACTTTTGGTGTTGGCCTAGAATGCATTTCCTGGACCTTCTTCTTGTTGTTGTTGTTTACAGTGTGTGTGTATGTGCACATGTGGGGGGGTGCATGTGTATGTGTGTGGTGTGTGTGCTGCGTGTGTACATGTATGTGGTGTGTATGCTGTGTGTGCGTGCTGCATGTGTATATATCTGTGTACATGTGTGTGGTGTGTATGTGGTGTGTGTGTGTGCGCTGCATGTGTATATATCTGTGTACATGTGTGTGCGTGCGCGCCATGATGTACTTGTAGTAGAGATCAGAAGACAACTTTGAGGAGTGAGCTCTTGCCTTCCACCATGGAGGTCCTGGGGATTGGATTCAGACTGTTATTCTCAGCAGCACAATTCTAACCCCTGGAGCCATCTCTCTAGTGCCCTCCTCAGAGGTTCTGTGACTCGTTTTCATAAGGCCATTGAAATCGAGGCTTGTGTCCTGCTTGCTCCACATGTGCAGGCTGGTTCCTCACTGGAAATGTAAGCAGTCAGAGGTGAAGGCACCTAAGGTGACGTGTGCACTCTGGGAAGAAAAACTTGTATATTACAGAAAGATGAATATGGCAAACATTCTGACTGTGTGTACACGGAACTTTGTACCCAGCCTGGGCTACAGAGAGATGGCAGAGTTGGGATCTCGCCTTCAGGAAACTCTTTGTCTAGTAGGAGAGACATATCAGCAAGAAGATTGCATGGGCCTCACAGACTTCTCCAGAGCCATGAGTCTCAGAAGATGACTTGCCCAGTTGGGTCAGGGATATGAGAGACAGACAGGGGTGTACAGGGAGGCAGCTGGCCAGGAAGACCCAGCCCCTGCCACAGGTTGATATTTTAGAGGTCTGGGGAAAGCTAACCCTGTCTTGATATAGCCCCGGAGTGTGCTTCCCACTCAGGATACTGGGTGGAGCACATGTCCTTTGGTAGTCGGGACAGTGGGGAGACAGGAGCCTGAGCTCCGCTTGCTAGCACCCAGTAGCTACAGATCAGTTCTTGGATGTATGTTGGTTGCTTTTCTTGTTGCTCTGACAGATGCCTGGAAAAAGCTACTTAGGGGAGGAAGGGCTTCTTGGCTCTCAGTTTGGGGTACACAGTTTATTATGACAGCAAGAGAGTAAGGGGTGGGGCGCACTGCACCTGCTGTTAGAAGTCAAACACATGAGCCTGCGCTCAGCTCCGTCTTTCCATTCGGTCCAGGATGCCAGCCCATGGGCTGGTGCTGCCCACATTTAGAGTGGGTCTTCCCGTTTCAATTAGCCAGTCCAGAAACTCTCAGACTCAGACATGCCTAGAGGCTTTTATCCTAGATGATTCTAGATCTGTCAGGTTCCCTGTATTAACTAGCAGACTGCCAGGTCACTTCACCTGGACCCCAGCTATGGCATGTTCCAGAGCTAGTTACATGATGTTCACACAGCTGAACATAGGGAGTTTTTAATCCCAACACTGAGTTTGAGACAGTTGAGACTGACTGAATAAGTATCTTTTATTTATTTATTTATTTATTAAAGATTACTGTCTCATCCCCACCGCCGCCTCCCATTTCCCTCCCCCTCCCCCAATCAAGTTCCCCTCCCTCTAAGCTGAATAAGTATCTTGACAGCTAAGGCCTGTCTTCCACACCGCTCACCCCTCTGTAGGCCTTTCTGGAACAAGGAGCCATACAGCTTACAGAACGCCCATGAATATCTTTTCTACTTCCCAACCCTTGGCAGCCGCCTCCAAACCCCGCCCTGTGCCACCACTGCCTGGCTAAAAGTAACTTTTAAAATATATTTTTAAAGGCTATATATTTTTTAACTGGGTAGGGTAGAGCACTTGGGAGGCAGAGGCAGGCAGATCTCTATGGGTTCAAGGCCAGCCTGGTCTGCAGAGTGAGTTCCAGGACAGGCTCCATAGAAAGACTCTGTCTCAACAAACAAAAATTCATGGTTGGCAGGATAGTTCAGCAGATAAAAGGGCCTACTGACCTGAGTTGTCCTGTGGCCTTTATACACATAGCATGTCCATGCCCACTGCCCCAAAATATGTGTGTGTGTGCACATGAGTGCGTGCACGTGTGTGTGTGTGTGTGTGTGAGAGAGAGAGAGAGAGAGAGAGAGGGGAGAGAGAGAGAGATCATCAGAAGGGTGAAGATGATCCAAGCTTCAGGGTGTCGGCTTGTCTTGTTACTGTGTAAAGATTGGACTGAAGAATTAGTTGCAGAGGAGGAGGGTTGAAGATGAATGTGCAGTCCAGGACTGGGTCAGGGGAGAGCAGCAGATTCTCACTGTACTCCCTAGGAGAGCCCTTGCCTGTGTGCAGCCTGCTGTCTTTGTTTACATAGCATTTACCTAAGGTGCTTCCTTGTTGTGAGTCATCCCATTTTACAGATGAGGAAGTAGAATACTAGTTTTCACAAGGGTGTGCATAAGAGCTTTCCAGAAGTCAGAGCTGCTCCTCAGTCATGTGGCAGTCACTTATGCACTTCCTAAGAAGTGCACGGAGGGAGCTGAGAATGTAGTCACTCAGTCGGGATGTTTGCCTGATGCAGTCCTGGGCTCCATCTCCAGCACTGTGCAAACTGGGCTGGTGATACCTGTGTGAAATCCCAGCACTTGGGAGGTAGACACAGGGATCAGAAGTTCAAGGTCATCCCCAGCTATTTAATGCGTTAAAGCTCAATCTGGGAGACAGACTTTTTCTTAAATAGGTGTATGGATATAATTAGTTAATTAAAAATTAAAAATTCAATGTAAAGAGCATCATGAGCACAGATTTCTGGTCACCAGCTTCCACAAGAGATTCCCTAGGGGGCTGGAGAGATGGCTCAGAGGTTAAGAGCACTGTCTGCTCTTCCATAGGACCTGAGTTCAATTCCCAGCAACCACATGGTGGCTCACAACCATCTGTGATGGGATCTGGTGCCCTCTTCTGGCCTGCAGGCAGACACACAGACAGAATATTGTATACATAATAAATAAATATCTTAGAAAAAAAAAAAAGAGATTCCCTAGGAAGACAGCCTTCTCCCAGATCCAGCCCCTCCCAGGGACACCAGTCTAGAAGACTGATTTTCTCCAGGCTTTGTGTCAGAGGGTCCCATTGGCCATTGGAAAGTATTGACTTTCAGGTCCTAATCTCCCAGGGTAGAGATTCTCTACTGCTATGGTAAGAATTGTCCAAGGGGTCCTTCTCTGAGACAGCACCCTAGGGAAGGCTGAGAAGCCACGTTGCTAAGGAGATGTCAAGGTGGTGGGGCAGCTGTGAATACATGTGCAGTTGCTGCTACGTGAGTGGGGACACATTTGGAGACCACCCTGCTGAAGTTTTGACCCCAACCCCCAGGCCTGTACTTCCTTTTTCCACACAACAACCCAGGTTGTTTTAATTTTCCTTAGCAGTATTGGAGGAAGTGGGTCATTGTATCTGAGTTCTGGAGTGGTGTTGGTCTTTTTCAAAACTCTCGAGGCAGGCCCCACTCACTCTGTGGTCCCCTTTCAGGTGGTGAGGGCTGCCGAGGAGGCTGCATCCACACTAGCCAGCTCCATTCACCCCGAGCAGTGCATCAAAGTTCTGTGCCCAATCATCCAGACGGCCGACTACCCCATCAACCTGGCTGCCATCAAGATGCAGACAAAAGTGGTGGAGAGGATCACCAAGGAGTCCTTGTTGCAGCTCCTTGTCGACATCATCCCAGGCCTGCTGCAGGTACGCATCCCAGTGAGGTCCAAGTCAGCATGTTCAGCAAGAAGAGGGGCAGACGGAAGCCCCAAGTGATGACACTGTCCTTGGGACCTACAGGTTCTATTTGCAAAGGGTTTTGTTTGCATATTTTTAATAATGAGTTTCATTGTGGCCTTTTCATGCTGTGCATTTTGTCGTGTCTCCCCCATGTCCTTCTCCTGTCTCCTGAGGATCCCTTCCCTCATCTGCTCTCATGTCTTTATTTCCTTTTTTGCTAGTTTGTTTGATTTTAAAAACTCAGGTTTTACACAAGAGAATATTCTCTAGCTGATGCTTATTCTAACTTATTAAAATCAAGCAAAGCCCATTTAGACATAGTGTCCTTTGGTAACGAGGCAGAGGGTCTCAAGAGCACGCGTCCACTGATGACTAGACAACCTGGCGCGTTTCCTACGGGTTTCTTCCAGGAGTGTGGGTGAGGGGTTATTCACAGGAAGATGAGTCCCTGCCAGTGCTGCACTAATGGAAAAGATGTCTCTCCCTTCTCCTACCCCCGTGACAGGAGTTGACAGGCCCAGTTTTGCACAAACACCATCTTAGCCTACGTGCTCCTCCATGCAGCAGAGGAGAACTGACAGTCCACATCACCCTGTAGCTCCAGGAATGAGCCTTCTGTTTAGTGTAAACATGTGCTGTGCATGGCTTCTACAAATGCCTTTTGCATACCTTGTGTGGCTCAGCCCTGGGCCAAAGGGGCACAGGGAGTATTTATCATGCATGCTTTGCTCTCCTGTCTGTGTTTGATGGAGCTCTCCTGCTCCAGCGGCTTCCTAGCCTTTCATGAGACATGGCGGGACCACATAGCAGCTGAAGCGACAGTGTCACATACAGAGCAGGCATCAGTGGAGAAAAGTAGAGAAGCCAGCTTCCCGTTTCGTGCATGCTGCTGTCTGCAAGGGTTTGCTTGGACTTAGTGTCAAGTAAGATTTTAAAAATAAATAAATAGCCCTCCCAAGGCTATCTTTCTCTGTGTAAAAAAAAAAAAAAAAGACTAGATTGTCCCAGGAGGAGGAAAGACGCAAAGGCCGTGCAGGGCTATCTGCAGAAAAGCACATGGCTCCCGTTTTAGGTAGGACATGAGGGACACAGGAAGTCCCTGCAGTCCCTGGACAGTAGAGAAATATTGCTTTTAGGTGGTATTTTTTAAAGTGTGTGTGTGTGTGTATGCGTGTGCACACACACGTGTTGGTTGGTCAGAGAACAGCTTGGGGGCACTCTGTTTTCCCCTTCCACCCTGCGAGTCCTGGCACCAGGCTTGGCAGTACATGCCTTTGCCTCCTGGGCTTACCCCCAGCCCTCTCTTTTCTTTAAGCCATTTCCTCAGGCAGTTTGCTCCACTACCAGGAGGAATCTGGATGAGGTATTTGTGTCTCCACCGCTCCTCCCTCTGCCATCTGTAGTGTCGGCACCCTGTAACAAAGCAGCCAAGCTGGCACCCACGTCCCTGCCCCTGTGTGCCACTCCTGCAGCCAGTCACTTTGACACTGCACGGCCAGAGCTCTCTGGATTCACGCGCAAGTCTGACAAGTTCAGGGTTGCACTGAGGGCGTCTGGATGCTGAAGCACTGGTGGGAGGCACAGCTTTGATCTTACTCTGTCCCCTCCACTCTCTAGGGTTACGACAACACTGAGAGCAGTGTACGGAAGGCCAGCGTGTTTTGCTTAGTGGCAATCTATTCCGTAATCGGAGAAGATCTGAAACCTCACCTTGCACAGCTCACAGGGAGCAAGGTATGTATAGTATTACCTGCTGTTGCCTGCACCTGGGCCACCAGCTCATCATGAGCCCCTTGGTGGCAGCTCTTTTTGTCGGGTGTGTTTAGCTGTGTGACTTCTCTGAGGTGAAAAGGACTGGCTATGAGGTAAAGCCATGGGAAGGTGGTGCTGAATGACATACCACAGGCCATTCTAACCGATTTTAAAAAGACAACTAGGGGGCTGGAGAGATGGCTCAGTGGTTAAGAGCATTACCTGCTCTTCCAAAGGTCCTGAGTTCAATTCCCAGCAACCACATGGTGGCTCACAACCATCAGGAATGAGGTCTGGTGCTCTTTTCTGGCCTGCAGACATACACACAAACAGAATATTGTATACATAATAAATAAATATTTTAATTTTTAAAAATCTAAAAAAAAAAAAAAAAAAAGTAAAAAGACAACCTAACTTTCAGTGTATTTACTGAAGGAAGACAACCTTGCTCAGAAACAGGTTTCCCCTACTCTCTTCCCCCATGGAATTATTAAAGAAATTTACCTCAGGGTGGGCAAGTCATTTCAGTAGGTAGAAGTGTTTGCCATGAAGCCTGATCCCAGGAACTCACATAAAGGTGGAAGGCCCTATCCAGCTGCCACACACATTCTGTGGCATGCACATGTGACGCTGTAATAAATTATTTTAAGATTACCTCATCCTTGAACAAATTGCTGAACTGGAGTTGAGTGCCTTGTGGCCATCAGCAGCAAGAATGAGAGCCTTGCCCTGGGCCTGCTGCACCTCAGACCCTGCTCCATACACTTGGCATGCCAGTAGAGAGCAGAATCCAGGGGCACAGGGCCCTGCTCCTTCTCAGAGGAATCTTCTAGTGAGATGCCTTTAGAGTTGGGCTGCCACTTTGACACAGCTGGGGAGCACCATAGCCAGAGCCTCACTGCCCCAGAATGTGGACAGCTCCAAGCCCTACTACAAGACAGGATTCCCTCAGGGGCAAGAATAGTTAGTTATTCAGACCCTCCAGCCTGCCTGAGGGTGCACACTACTGCCTGAGAAGAAATATGTGGGCAGTGGTTCCTTCCAGTTCACTGCTGACAAGCATCATAGCCAGGTCTCTTCCCACCACCCTGGGGCCTTGCTTATGGAACTCACCTGTACAGTGTCAGAAGTTCCATGGCTAGCAACCCCAGCCACCATCTACATGCCTGTAGCTCTCCCTCTGATTGTAAGGTCATTACCCTTACTGGCTCTACACATGGTCAGATGTCCCCCGAGAGCAAAACTAGCTGAAGTTGAAAACCACTAGTCCAGAGGGCATACTTGAAGACAGATGGAAAGAGGCAACAGAAGCACGTGGGGTAAGTTAGGACGAAGCTGGGGAGTGTTGCCTAGCGGAACAAAGCCCTGGGTTCCACCCCACATTGCACAAACTGGATTTGGTGGTTTTCATCTGTAATCCCAGTGCTCAGGTGGAGGCAGAAGGATCAGAAATTCAAGATCATGTTCAGCTACATGATTAAAGGCTAGCCTGAGTTACATGAGACTGGATGGATGGATGGATGGATGGATGGATGGATGGATGGATGGATGGATGGAGTTAAAGGCTAGTCTGAGCTATATGAGAAGATAGATAGATAGATAGATAGATAGATAGATAGATAGATAGATAATAGATACATGGATGGATGGATGGATAGATAGATAGATAGATAGATTGATTGATTTGCCTTACCTGACCCAGTCTCCATGTCTTCCACCTTCTTTCTGTTCTGCCAAGACTCTGATCAGATCACTTTTTTCCCCCAAGACAGGATTTCTCTGTATAACCCTGCCTTTCCTGAAACTCACTCTGTAGACCAGGCTAGATCTCAAACTCAGACTTGCCCCTGCCTCCCAAGTGCTGGAAGTAAAGGTGTGCAACACAACACCTTGCTCCGATTGCTCTTTTCACTGTTAATGAAATTGGTAGCCGTAGTCACACAGCTTTCCCTTCCTCCTCACCTCCTATGCCTCCTCCACAGGGATTCAGGGGTGACTTGGCTACAGTGGCCACCATCAAGGCCCGATTTATAAACTGGATTGGACTTACAAATAAATTAATCTAAAAATATTCCCAAGCCTTTTCTGATATATATGATTTGTGCATGTCTCTTCCCTCATGTGGGTTAGATTCTTGCTCTGTTAATTGTACGTTGGTGCACACAATTTTAATTTTAAGGAATAAATTTGTCTGTTTTTTTTTTTTTTTTTGTTTCCTGGGCCTTGGGAGTCCATTCGAGAAATCATTGCCACATCCACTGTCACGAAGCTGTTGTCCAGCTTCCGTGTGAGTGTCAGGTGTTACGCTCTTCCATCTCTTAGATTCAGGTTTGTCATTCGCTTGGGTTGTGTTTTCCTCTGCCCCTTTCCATCCTGTTTGTTTTGTCCTCCCTCCCTGGCAGCTTTGCTTCTGCCTCACTGTCATGCCATGGGCACATGATTTCATACTCCCATGTAAGGTCCAGGAACCCCATATGAGAGAGAGGTGTTTGTCTTTCTGAGACGGGCTTAATTCCCTTAATATGATTACCTCCAGTTGCATCCATTTTCCTGAAAATGACATAACTTTGTTATTCTTTATGGCTGAAAAAATTCCATTGTGTATGTGAACCACGTTTTCTTTATGATTCCTCTGCTATTGGCTACTTAGTTGGCTCCATTTGGGTTAATTTTTGTCTGTGGTGTTAGGTAAGATTAAACTTGATTCTGTTGCAGATAGCTGTCCATCTCTCAGGATCATCAGTTTGCTGTAAAGATAATCTTTCTATCACAGTCTTGATACCATTGTCAAAATATCTGTGGGAAGGGTTCCTTCTGCATAAGTCCTTAGGCTCGGCCCACATGCTTGGCTTTGCCATTCTTTGTGTAGGTTTTGCTTTGTGTGTGTGTGTGTATGTGTGTGTGTGAGCCGTCCTGCATGTGACCTGGTACCTGTGTAAAAATCAGGACAACTTGCCATTTGGTTCTCTCCTTCCACCATATGGGCCCTAAAAACCAAACTCAGCTCATCCAGCTCAGGAAAAGTGCTTTTTCCACTGCGCCATCTCACTGGCCCCGGTGTTTTGGGATGCTTGCGATAAGGTCTGACTCTGCGATAAGGTCTGACTCTGCGATAAGGTCTGACCAGCCCAGACTGGCTTCAAACTGGTCCTTCTGCCACAGGCATGAGCCACCATACTAAACTTAATTTTCCCTTTTTTTTCTTTTTCTTTTTGCAGTTCTGGGGAAAATCAAAACCAAGGCCAGCATAGGTTTCGTGGGACCAAGCACACTAATCTCAGATGTGGCTGGCATCAGCAGGTGTCTGTAGGAAGGGCACAGGGGCAGAGGCATCCATCTAGGTCTTTGTCTGGGCTGTGTTGGCCCTGCCCCTATGCGCCTTCCTCAGCAGCTCTGACAGCCCAAGCTTCAGGTCACTTGTTCTCTGAGCTAGTCAAAGGCAGAGCATCTGGAAACCAACTGTCTTTAAGCACCGGCCTGCTGACCTCTTCCCTGCTTCTAGCCCATCTCCCCTGCTCACTCGTCTCTGTTTTCTTCTCTTTGCAGATGAAGCTACTCAACCTTTATATCAAGAGGGCCCAGACCACCAACAGCAACAGCAGCTCCTCCTCCGATGTGTCCACACACAGCTAGTGGCTGTGCCGGTCTGTGCAGACCCACATGGTGGCGCCTCTGAGAAGCCATCAGCCGTCTAGTCCTTCAGGGGCCGCACATAATTTATTACAATCAGTATTTTGGTCCCTTCCAGCTTTTGTGTAGATTTCGCTGGTATTGAATGTAACGGGAGCGAGGCCTGTTATGCAATCTCCCTAGAAACAAAAGGACTGAGAACAGAGCCACACTCACACGTGTCTTGCACCGCCTGCTGACATCACCAAACCATGGAGGGCACAGTTCTTAGAACCCAGAGCTCTCCAGCCCGTGCTTGGAACACAGTAGAGTATTTTTTCATCCCACACAGACCTGGGGTGGTTTGGGGTGTTGCTGTGTTCTTTATGCCTATGTTCCTAGAGCGTGGTCAGATGGGACCAGACCCCCCACCTGTGGTCCACCTGACCCTGAGAGAGGCTGGGTGTGTCTTTAGGTTTTATCTTAAGAGAACTTGTCAGAGTGGGACTGCAGTCTGGGCACAGAAAGAACAACAGCCTGGAGCTGGCCTCATGACAAACAAGTCTGCCTTTGGGGACAGAATCAGTAATGCCACCAAAATTTTCATGGTTGCATTAAATAAAAGGTGACTGTAGAATGTCAAGATTGGAAACAGGCTTCCATCGTGATTCCTGCCCAGGGAATCACTGGCCTAACCTCTTGAAGGTCTTTTGACCCAGCAACTAATGTAGAGTCTGGCTAAATATATTTTGATTAAAATCCTTAAGCCAAATGACAATTCTTAATGCAATCATGCAAACTTTTTTAGGCTGGCCTTGGACTTGGTATCCTCCTGCCTTTAGCCTCCCAAATATTGGGTTTATAGACATGGGCTAGCAAAAGATTCTTTGGGGGTGTTAATTCTAGCAGAGCGTGCACCCCTCCAGTGCAGAGCCCACTTCAGCTACCAGAGATGAAAGGAGAGGTTGGGCACTTGAGTTCTCAGCCCTGATTCCAGCCCTGCTCTCTGACCCGCCAAATGACTTGGTTGGCCATGGTGGTGCACACCTTTAATCCCAGCACTTGGAAGGCAGAGGCAGGTGGATTTCTGTGAGTTCTAGTCCAGCCTGGTCTAGAATCAGTTCCAGGACAGCTGGGGCTGTATAGACTCTGTCTCAAGAAACAATCAAAAAGAGGTAGGGAGGTTGAGAAAGACCTATGCTGTATTTAGAAATACACTGAAAATGAAGGCCGTGTGTGTGTGTGTGTGTGTGTGTGTGTGTGTGTGTGTGTGTGGAGTGGCTCACACATGTAACTGCCCCCACTGCTGCTGTCCGGAGAACTCAGGGGTGCATTTTAAGGATTTACTATTATTGACTGGTCTGAAATCAAAATATAGCAAGACCAGACCTTCGTTTTAGTTAAAAACAAACAACAACAACAAAAAATCCTGTCTGTTAAGAGTTTATTAATGAAATTCCTTCTCACCCTCCACCAGGGTCCCTGTGTTGTAGCCACTGCCTTGTAGAATTGTGCATCTCGGCCTGGTTACTTAGGAGTTGTCTTATGTCTGATGCAGTTAGAAGGGCCCTTCTCTGGAGGTCTCTGCCCCACAGATGGTCTCCATGTCCCCACCGTAACTGGACAGTTCCAGAATATTGCCTGATTTCCTCATGGCACTTGCGAAGGGCTAGCCTCGAATGTCACGTGCCCTCTTCCCCCTGAGTAGAAAGAATGCAGTCATTTCACAGGTCTCTTGGGCTCCATCTGAAGACTGCTGCCCGCAATGCTGAGGAGACTCGCATGCCACCACCACCTCACGGAGGGCGACAGCGCCGCTCTGGAACCCTGACAGCTACTGCTGCCTTGCCTTGCCTCCACCTCCCCAAAGGACTCTGCTGGAAGCACCTAGTCCCTGAAGGACTCTTGACGACTCCCAGAACTGTGTTTGCCTCCCCATCTATCTTGACTATCCAGGGCCTTGAAACCCCCTACCCTGTATCCAGGGGGACTGCTCATCTGACTTCCTGCTTCCTGGCAAGCTGCCCCTCCCTTACTGGACAGGCACTCTCCAGGTGCACTCGTGTGCTGTGCGGCCCTGGTGCCCACAGATGGCCTGGGCCCGCCCGCCGTATCTATGGCTCACAATAGCTTTTCACCACCTGTACAGCTCACGCAGCAGGTTTGTCTCAGACGTCTTCTGTTTCTTTCTCTGCCACCCTTACGGAAACTCACACTTTAAAAGACAGATTAGAACTTCGTAGACCCCCAACCAGGACTCTGCTAACAATGTTTGGAAGAAATAAATGCTCTGAAAACAATCAGCCACCAAAATAGCTCACACGCATGGTCCCTGCGCCCCCAGAATGGGTGTTGTTTGTTTTGGGTTTTTGGGGGGCTTTTTCATGTTACATCCATAATCTGTATTTATATCTTATTGTTTCACCTTCCAAGTGTATCATGGCAAATGTACAGATTTTTTTTGTTGTTGTTAATAATGTGCTAGGATTTGCTAAAAAAGAAAATTAAAAAAAAAAAAAAGACGTCGAGTTTGCCCTGGAATATGCGACAATCCAGTTAAAACTGTGTGTGTGGTGCTGTGAGAACCCTCGGGTGACCTGCAGTTTCTTGTCAGATTGTCATCATCCTGCTGTGTTCACAGAGACACTGAGAGCACACGTCTTTGTGACAGTAAAGGGTCAAACTTAGTAGTGCAGCCAGTAATGGCACTTGCTTTGTTTCCTGACAACCTGAGTTTGATCCCCAAACCCATGTAAATGTAGGAGAGCGCCTGCTGCATCCAGCTGCCCTCCAGTCTGCACATGACGGCCACAGTGTGAATCTCCTCCTCACGTAATCATACAATAATAATAGATTTAAAAAAGAAAAAAAGGTCAGGCATGCCTTAATCTCAGCACTCTCTGAGGTTTTCTCTCTGCATGAGTTCAAGGCCATCCTGAGCCAAGTAGTGAGTTCCAGGAGAGCCACAAGCTGTCAACAAAACAAAAGACCAAGTATTGGCTTGATGGTGCACAACTTTAATCCCAGCACTCGGGCAGATGGATCTCCGTGAACGACCATGTGGGTCTACAGCTTGGTCTACATAGCAAGTTCTATACTAGCCAGAGCTACATAGGCAGACCCCCTATCTCAAAAAAAAAAAAAAAAAAAAAAGCCAGGTAATGGTGGTGCGTGCCTTTGATCCCAGAATTTGGGAGGCAGAGCCAGGTAGATCTCTGAGTTCAAGGCTAGCTTGGTCTACAAAGGAGTTCTAGGACAGCCAGGGCTACACAGACCCTGTCTCAAAATTAAGAGAAGTCCAACTGTCCGGAAACCCCCCCTCCATCCAGTGTCCCGTCAGCCCCTGCTGTGTGATGAGACAGGAAACTGGGGGCACATGGGGTATGAGTCCCCAGCCCTTCTCCAGAACAGCTACCTGAGTGAGTTCCTGTCTGAACCCCATTTTCCCAGCCAAGCAACAGCACTCTTCTAGAAGAGCTCAAAGCAGGGAGGAAACTGACCCTGGCTCCGAGACTGGACCAGACCTGGTGAGAGCGAGTGCTGGTCTGTGCTGCTTGGCTCTGTAGGCCTGGCACTGACTGCTGGATGCCAGCAGTAGTGTGGCCCTAGAAGTGGGCACAGTGGAGTGACTCCACAGCCTCCTCGAAGCCTGGTAATGTAACATTTCCCGTGTTGGCACCCACTACCACTGAGCAGTTCCCATCCCTGCTCTCCCTGAGGGCCATGTGTGGTATGCATGCAGGCCAATGGACAGCCACAGGTGGTCGTCCTCGAGGGCTGGCCATTTCATTGTTTGAGAGAGGGCCTCTCACTGGTTGGATTTCACCAAGTAGGCTAGGCTAGCTAGTCATTTGCCTGTCCCCACTTCCCCTGCACTCGGATTACAAGTACACAGTTCTGTGTTTGACTTTTTAATGTGCGTTCTGGGAACAAACGCAGGTACTTACGCTTGCAAGGCAAGAACTTTATCACCTAAGTGGTGACTCTGCCCTGACTCTGAATGTAGCTTCTACATTATATGTAACTCTGAGAAATAGTCAAACATAGAATTCCACCTTTTTATATAACTGCCCTAATTTATTTGATTGGTCACAATGTCCTCACAGTTCTTCCATGATATAGCAAGTGTCACAATTCCCTTTTAGAAGGCTGAATAACACCAATCTTGGGGTCTCACAGAGGATTTTGAGGGCCCAGTTTTGAGAAGCTGGGGTAGAATTGTGAGCTCAAGTCCAGTCTAGGCTATGTAGTAGGCACCCATCTCAAAGAACAAGACAGAAAGGAACTGCTTGACAGAAGCGCTGTGTGAATTTAGAGGTGATGTCAAGCAATTCTTGGCTGCTGGTCACCTGCTCTGCTCCCTCCATGGCCTGGAGTATACAGGGTGGAGACATCGCCCACACCCCTCCGCACATACTCAGGTTCAAGCATGGAAAACCTTGAAAGAAGGACGGACTCAATGTCCTCTGTTTGGTTCTCTAAGCCCAGCGCCACTGCTGTTTTTCCAGTGGGCAGCCGGGCAGTGCTTACTATGCCAGGAAGATGTCAGGCTGGCAGCAGGCACAGAACCTCCAGCCGTTCCTGGTTCTGGGAGTTAAACTTGCTGTCTGCTCGGCTTTGAAGGAAGTCATAGAAGGGATCTGAACCCTGTAAAACTGCTGAGGGTCTCAAGATGAGAATCTCTGGTATAAAGTCCCTTCGTGGTTATGACAGTCTCCCATTAGCAGGAAGGGTGACTGAGAACTCAACGTCCTTTGTGAGGTGTTTGGTGCTTTTCAAAAGGTTTAAATTAGGGCCAATGAGATAACTCGGCCAATGAAGGGGTTTTCCACAAATCCTGGGACCCCCAAGGTAGAAGGCGACGACTGACTCAAATGTTATCATTTGACTTTCACACACACACACACACACACACACACACACACACACACACTCGAGAGACGGACAGACAGACACAGAGAAGACACAGAGAGTGACAAACACACACACAATTTTTTTTTTTTTTTTTTTTTTGTTTTTTCAAGACAGGGTTTCTCTGTGGTTTTGGAGCCTGTCCTGGAACTAGCTCTGTAGACCAGGCTGGTCTCGAACTCACAGAGATCCACCCGTCTCTGCCTCCCGAGTGCTGGGATTAAAGGTGTGCGCCACCACCGCCCGGCCTCACACACAAATTTTTAAATGTAAGCAAGGGACTGGAGAAATGGCTATTGGCAGTTAAGAACACTGGATGCTCTTTCAGAAAACCCGAATTCAATTCCCAGCATCCACACTGCAGCTCACAGCCATCTCTAACTCCAGTTCCAGGGGGTCAGATGCCCTCTTCTGACTGTCCGGGTACCAACCACGCATGTGATGCTACATATATGCATGCAAACACTTATGCACATAAAATATAAATCTAAAAAAAAAACTTTACAAAATAGAAATGGAAATAAGGCCCCTTTTGTTTCTGTCATTGAATGGCACAAGCAAGTTCCCAGCCAGGTGTCCTGCCTCTGGCTCCCATCTTGCCATAGGAGTGCTGGGATGAAAGGCTACCAACTGACTTTTTACTTGGATCCAGGAGTTGAACTCAGGCCGTCTGGCTTTTGCAGCAAGTATGTTTTACCAGCTGAGCCATCTCACCAATCCATACAATGTTTTTGAAGAATTCTCATCTGTGACTTATTACAGATGTGCAGATACTAGAACTGCTGTCCTCCAGTTCCAGATGAGGAAACTGAGGCACAGGAAACACCCCAGCTAGAGAGTGACAAATGGAGCCAGGACCGGTCCCAGGCTCCTCCCTGCCAGCTTAGTGGCTTCCTTTACTCCTCACTGGGCCATTCACTTTCCCTGCAGTTGTGGAGATATCTGGGTCCTTGCATACATCAGAACCCTATGGAGCTCCAGCCCCCTAGAGCAGTGGTGAGCCTGAGAATGGATTCCTAGCAAGTGCCCAGGTGATGCTGAGTCCGCTGGCCTGTTTCTCAATGAACCTTCCTGGACCTTCTAGAGTCTAGAATCTAGACTGTGGCAGAAAATCTAGATGAAGCCTCAGGAAACTTAGCCTAGAGGGCCGCCTTGCCTGATGCTATGGGTAACTATAGCAACAGCCAACAACACCGTAACTAGGACCACGGAAAGTGAAATAGGCTGGGGAGAGATAGCTCAGCTGGTAAAGTGCTTGTCAAGTTCAATGCCCAGAACCTAGACGTAAAATGTCAGGTGTGGTGGCACACCCTTGCAACGCCATCACTGGAGAGGATGCCTCGGGCTTGCTGGGCAGCCAGTCTTACCTAATGTGTTAGCTCCAGACCAATGAGAGACCCTGTCCCAAAAGGATGGTGGGGAGCAATCCTGAGGTTCTCTTCTGGTCTTCACAAATGTGCGCACATGCATGTACACACACACACACACACACACACACACACACACACGCACAAATTTTAACTGAAAGAGGTAAATGTTAGAGCCCAGGCAGACGTGTCCAGGCATGCTGGGCACAAAGCTGTCTGTTCAGGGATGGACTTCCTCCATGAGCTCAGCCCAAACCTCCCTGCCCCTCTGGTTCCTCCTGTATTTATTAACTCACACTTTGGAGGCTCCAGGCAAGAGCGGACAAAGGTCATGGGAATGGGGATCTAATGCTGGGTTACGTATTGAAAGGCTCTGAAAGGCAGCCCCTCCACGTCCTCTTCTGATGAGTCCAGAGGGACTGACTAGTCAGGGAGGTGTGGGATGAAGCACGAAGGCATCTGGTTCAGGCTCTGAACCTCTTCGGCCTCTCCCCAGAAGAGCCTAGAGAGCTCCTGAACCTGTCTGATGCCTACCTAGTCAGTGCCTATTGGTCCTCCATTCCTGGCCTATGCCTGGACACCTCAGGTTGCAGTCTCAGTGATGAGAGTTTGCTGTCTGTCAGGCTTTGGTTCAGAGAACCATCTGTAATCAGGAGCCTGATCACTCCTATTTCATAGACTGGAAACAGGCACAGCAAGTTCAGGTAGCCTGCTTGGGGTCACATAGCTAGTGAGAAACACAGCTGGGATTCAAATGCAGGAAGTCAGGCCAGTGAGCAAGGGTTCTTGCTGCCAAACCTCACCTCATGGCCTGTGTTCTATCTATCCCTGGAACCCATAGTGGGAGAGAACTCCTGCTAATTGTCCTCTGGCCTCCAGATGTGTACTGTGGCATGCGCACGCGCGCGCACACACACACACACACACACACACACACACACACACGTGCGCACACACAGAGGCCTCCTCTCACTTTCTCTGACATACCAGTCCATTTCATCCCTGACTCTTGTTAGCAAATTCTTGGGCCCTGGCTGGTCTCAAATGAGCTCAGTTGGTCAGGCCACCAAACTCACAACCTCCTGCAGAACCTCTTAGGAATCTCTAGCAGCCAGGCTCTGGCTGGAAAAGGGGAGCACTCACTAGTTTGGAAGAGGATGGGGGTGGAGAGAAGGAAAGGTCAATTGATTTCACTGATCGCTTTAAGCCTGTGTGTAGAAGGAACAGCAGGCTGCATTCCTGCCGCCCTG